GATCCCGGGACTTCAGGATCATGACCTGAGCCGAAGGCAGTTGCTTAACCAACTGAGCCACCCAGGCACCCCTTCTTTTCTTAAGTAAGCTCTACGCCAGATCTGGCGCTTGAACTCAAAGGTCACGTGCTCTACCGACTGAGCCAGCCAGGGGCCCCTCTTCCGGTTCTGTACTTTTAAGGCAACACCTTCTAAATGTAGCAAAATTTTCTTGCAGAGAATGCTTAAAATGCTGATATATTGTTATCAGAACCACAGTCTTTCTGAAGAAAATTAAGGATGTGGAAGTTCTGATTGTAAAAAGAAAAAACTTAAGACTCAAGTTGATTATTTGAGTTTTCATACCAATGATTTAGGTTGTAAGGTTTCCAAAACAGGCAGGTCTTTGTATTACCTATTGATACATGAAGAAGTGGTGTTAGGTTAGGACTTAGTAAAAGGAAAATCTTTGTGACAGTGTAAATTGTTAGGGGTTGGGATTATTGTTTCCTGAGATAATAGAAGTGGAATCCCCTTTATTGTAGAACATTAGGTGAGGTGCCAGATGCCAGTTTGTGTGGAGTGTTGTATGAGATTATGAGTAAAGGGTTAGACTTGAAAATTGAGAGGAACCTTTCAACAAGATGACACTGATCCTTTCTTCCTACCTTTACAGATTCGCACCTATTCATGCTGAGGCCCCTGAGTTCATAGAGATGAGTGTTGAGCAGGAAATTCTGGTTACTGGTATCAAGGTCGTGGATCTGCTGGCTCCCTATGCCAAGGGTGGCAAAATTGGTAGGTTACTGCTGGTACATATTTTCCAAACCTAATGTGGGAACAAGAATCCTACCGTGTAGTGAGTGGGTACTGAGATCTATCCTTCGCTGATGAGTAGCTTCTGACTTTCGTTCTTCTGAGTTTGCTGAAGCCAGATGCCATTCCTGAGAAGGGAAAAGATAGAAAACCGGGGTAATTTTTTTTTTTCTTTAAGTTTGCTTATTTGGGAACACAGAACTCTTAAGTACTGGCTTCTTTTCAACCTTTTCCAGGGCTCTTTGGTGGTGCTGGAGTTGGCAAGACGGTACTGATCATGGAGTTGATCAATAATGTCGCCAAAGCCCATGGTGGTTACTCTGTATTTGCTGGTGTTGGTGAGAGGACCCGTGAAGGCAATGACTTATACCATGAAATGATTGAGTCTGGTGTTATCAACTTGAAAGATGCTACCTCCAAGGTAAGTAATAAGCTGATTTATGTCCACATGGTAGTAGGGCCAGGAAACCATTTTAGTTGACTGCATTACTAGCTGAAGCCATGTGTTATATTTTCATTTCATGTGGGCCTACAAAGGAAATTCCCGTCAGGGTTTTCCCTGCAACTTATAATACAGTAACGCATATTTTCTTTCTTCTTTGACATTACATTATGTTTCCAGACTTTGTTTTCAGTAGATAGTCCCATCTTTGAAAGTTAATTTTGGGACTTGGAGGTAATTCATATGTCTCAACCCTATTTTGTGCCTCTCACTTAGTTTTATTTCCTTCCTATTTCAGGAATCTTGCCTTAAAATTATAAGAAATTGTGTTATTTTGAACCACATTTCTAAAAGGGAAAAGAAATTTGGAAACCAAAATCTTGAGGCTTTCTGAGAAGGAGGGTTTTTTGGTAGTTTCCTCTGATTTGGGGACCTTGGGTATATGGCTTCCATATTCTTCTGCCACGTTTTCTGATTGTGTATGATTATTTCAGGTAGCGCTAGTGTACGGTCAAATGAATGAACCACCTGGTGCTCGCGCCCGGGTGGCTCTGACTGGACTGACTGTTGCTGAATACTTCAGAGACCAAGAGGGTCAAGATGTATTGCTCTTTATCGATAACATCTTCCGCTTCACCCAGGCTGGCTCTGAGGTAAGAGAGAAGGCTTGAGAGAACCTGTTTTCATTTGACCTTTCTATGGAATGGTGCAGGTGAGGCTAAAGTTGTAGACCCCTAATACCTTTGTTCTTACTGTCTTTCTCTCTTTTTTAAGGTGTCTGCTTTATTGGGCAGAATCCCTTCTGCTGTGGGCTATCAGCCTACCCTGGCCACTGATATGGGTACCATGCAGGAAAGAATCACCACCACCAAGAAGGGATCTATTACCTCTGTACAGGTAAGAACCATTAAGTGGATGAAGTTCTAATTTGTATAAAGGTATATACAGAGAAGTTCCTTATGTCTCAATGTTTTTGACCAGGTTAATGAGCTCCCTGAGATAATGTGTAAAATTCTATGTGTGCATGTTAGAGACCCTAAAACATTAAGAAATGCTCAAAGTAGTTGAAGGCATACATGTGAATGTAGATCACAAAAGTAGTCGTTTCAAGCCTGCGGAGTCTGGAGCTGCATGGAAACATGTTAAATACATACATAAATATATATATTACGTATGTATATATACATGTATATATATACACAGTAAAATTATCTTGAGTGTCTAAATTGTTTTAACTTTCAATGAACCTAGTGACCCATTGTAGTCATGCACGGTCTTTTGTTTTTAACTGAAAGTGTGGGTATCACTACAATAGAGTTAAAATGTAGGATGAATAACAAAAGGAATGACAAGAAAATTCTTTTATCACAGCTTGGAGGGACCAGATCATCTATAAGCTCACTCAGCAGGTATTAGGATGGTAAGAAGGCTTTTTTGAGGTGGACTCCTAAATGCTAAGATGGAATGAGATGATGAGGAGAGGTTAGAAAAGGGCGGGGGGGGTGGCTTAAATCAAATTACTTGGCTTCCTGTTGCTTCTCTTGGGTTCTTGACTCACTTTAGGCTATCTATGTGCCTGCTGATGACTTGACTGACCCTGCCCCTGCCACTACCTTTGCCCATTTGGATGCTACCACTGTCCTGTCCCGCGCTATTGCTGAGTTGGGCATCTATCCAGCTGTGGATCCTCTGGATTCCACCTCTCGAATCATGGATCCCAACATTGTCGGAAATGAGCATTATGATGTTGCTCGTGGGGTGCAAAAGATCCTACAGGTGAGTATTGTAGGTGAGATTGGTGGCCATAAAGTCATACAGTGGATTTTTGGGGACTAATTTAATACCAAATCTTTCCTGGTGACCTGTGTAATTTGCTTTGGAGTAAGGAAAGATGAGATAGCAGGTTTTTTTTTTTTCCTTAAGATTTTATTTATTTGAGAGTGCACACAATGGGGAGAGGGAGAAGCAGACTCTCCGCTGAGCAGGGAGCCTGACACCTGGCTCGATTCCAGGACCCTGGGATCATGACCCAAGCCGAAGGCAGATAGATATCCAACCGACTGAGGCACCCAGGCGCCCCAAGACCAGCAGTTTCTGGGTTTTTTTTTTAAGATTTTATTTATTTATTAGAGCACAAGCAGGGGAGCAGCAGAGGGAGAGGGAGAAGCAGGCTCCCCGCTGAGCAGGGAGCCCAATGAGGGGCCCAATCCCAGGACCCCAGGATCATGACCTGAGCCGAAAGCAGACGCTTAACCCACTGAGCCACCAGGCACCCCGACCAGCAGTTTCTTTTAGTGTGAATGAGGTCTCTTGGGTTTCCAGGTACTTAGATTTGGAATCTAATTTTTTCTAATGGCACCATACAAGAAGTAGGGAGGATAAGACCCTGATCTTAGCTGAGGGCCCTCGTGATCCTGACTATGTAACTTTACCACTAACTTGTTTCAGTTACAAAGTGAGGTAAGGTGCTAAAATGCTTTGTACAAAGCTTGGTGTGAATACAAGGTGGTAGTAACCCTTAGGTTTTTGTCCAAATTTAAAAGAAATGTGAATTTTGGGGTGCCTGGCTGACTCAGTAGAGCATCCAACTCTTGATACCAGGGTTGTGAGTTCAAGCCCCGCATTAGGCGTGGAGCCTACTTAAATAAAAAGAAGAAAAGTAATATAAATACTCAGACTTCTCTTGTCTTCTCATAGGACTACAAATCTCTCCAGGACATCATTGCCATCCTGGGTATGGATGAACTTTCTGAGGAAGACAAGTTGACTGTGTCCCGTGCACGGAAAATACAGCGTTTCTTGTCTCAGCCATTCCAGGTAGCTGAGGTTTTCACAGGTCATATGGGGAAGCTGGTACCTCTGAAGGAGACCATCAAAGGATTCCAGCAGATTTTGGCAGGTGAGATTTTGAGTATAAAGCTGAATGTAAAATGGCAGAGAAGCTGAAATCTCTTGATGCCCATTGTTCTATATTCCCATTCCAGCAACCGTCAAGCAATATATGAGTATATTGTGCCTAGATACATAGTTTTTAAAATGAGCTATTTTTCTTTTTTTTTTT